AAATTTTTTCCAATTTTTTCGGGGCTTCTGTTTTTTTTTTCTTTTTTTTGTCGCTCACCCAAGTGACAGCTGCATTATCCTATTTACTGAAAGTTTGGATATCCTGCTTTTGTTAACTTCTTTTTCTGCCTTTCTTTCCCCCCCTGGCATAGCCCTCAACCACTCACCCCAAATTGTTCTTTCCTTCGCCATTCATGGGCTCCCCATGTCCCCCCCAATCTTTCTAACCTCTTTCTCCGCTCTCTTTCCTGTTTTTTTGGGCCTTTCCTTTTTTCCTATCCCCTTTTGGGGTTCCAATCAAAGACATTCGTTATGCTGTTCCCTTTTTTTCTCAGGGGTTGCCCTACCCAACAGCTCTTTTCCTCACCTCCTGTCCCGGGAGCCTGTTTATTCTCTTCCCCAAGTTCTACTTATTTTTCTATCTACATTTTATTCCCCTCTATTCTGCCAGGCCCATTAAATGAATGTCTGAAAATTTTTTAAAAATTGTTTCGTTTTTCTCCATGTTTCCCCCCCCTACATAGACGTTTTAATTTAGAAAAAAATTTTTTTGGGTTGTATTTTTTTTAATTTCTTTTGACCCCCCAAAAACCCCATGCTTGAAGTCCCCTTGCCTTTTTTTTCTTATTAAACCGCTTTTTTTTTTCAGTGGTGTTAAAAGAAAATTTTGTTGCGTATCCTTTACAGCCTTTTGGGAACCAAACCTCCCCGGTTGTTTTTTTCTAGGCAAATTTTTTCCGTGTTTCCTTGCTTTTGGAGGCGGAACCAACTTCACCACCAAGGTGAAAAGGGCCCCAGCTGGGACAAAAACCGCACCCCCATTCGAAATTTTCCCATCACTTTGCCAGAGCCGGCGAAGGGAAAAAAAAGAAAAGAAAAGAAGAAAAAAACTTCCCCGGGACAATTCTGACCCCCGGTCAAACCGGGAAAATTTTTCCCACTAAAAAACCCGGGAAAAGAAATTTGTTTCGATAGGCAGTTAAAAATCTATTATTTCAGGTCTTTTTTCCCCCTACTCCGGGATCTTCAGGGTTTTCCGGGTGGAAAGATCTCTGGAAGGGGCCCTTCTTTTCGTTTCGTAAAACCCTTTTTCGACTCCACCTGGGAACCCAAATTTTTTCGAACTCCACAAAGCGTTTGATTTTTTTCAGAACGAAGACGCACGGGGGCACCCATAAGGGCCCTTTCCATCTTCACACCGCAGATTCCAATCCCAACGTGCCAGTACGTCTGTTAACGCGGGGTTTTTTTTTCTCTGAGGTCAAGACCCTTGTTTCCCCCAAAAGCACAGTCCACCAGGGGAAAAAATTTTTGCCCGAACAACATGCTCTCACAACCCCCTTTTTGGGCCCCGCCTGCCTTATCAGATCAGTCTCCCCAAACTGTATGATTTTTTGTTTCTCTAATTGCACACTGCCTCAAAAGTTTCGCCACGCCTCCCTTTTCATCATCGTATCCATAAATTTGTGAAAAAGCAGCCATATGCCCCTCCTATTCATTTCCCACCCACATCCCTTAAAAAATGTCACAATGTTTTTCACTCTGACCTCTGAAGTGACCCCGAAGTGCCCTCGAAGTACCCCTAAATGCCTCCGAAGGACCTCCGATGACCTCCAGAAAACCCCAGCTGTGCGGTCGGATTTTTTTTAAACCCCTTTTAAAAAAAATAAACCCTTCTTAGGGTCTGAAACCCGGTCTCCGGATGAAGCCCGTTCTACTCCAGCACTGCCCTTGGGGGCCCCTGGGGTAATGGCTAAAACCTCCCTGCGGATCGAAAAGGGCATGGGGTTTGGTCCTAGTGGACCCGCATTTTAAAAATGACCTAGGGGTTCCCAGGGCGACCCAGGGTTGATGGGTACCAGGGGCAAATCCTGGAAATTAAGGGACCGGGTTGATGCTGATCCATCCCCCCCTCTGATTATCCAAAAATATAGGTCTAGCCTATATCACCCCGTCTGAAGGGATGGAAAAAGGTCTTTTACTTTTATCGATCCTCTTTAAAATAAATGGAACAAAAGCAAAAAAAAAACAAAAAAGAGAGGAAAATTTTTTAACATGAAACCCAAGAGGATTTTCACCACAATCTCTGACCCCCCTGCTAACCACTCAGTGCGGCAAGCCCGGGCAAACAAGTGGGGATCTTGTGGGGGACCTGGAAGGAAATGTGTTGATCCCGCACCCACTCCCCAAAACTGAGTTAACACTGCTCCAAAAACTTGGTCACTTTAATCTCCCTTTGGTCGAATTCCTGAAAAATAAAAGGCATTAAAATAAGGGGAAAGATAAAATAGTCAAAATTTCTTCTTCTTCTTCACGTCCCCCAGCTGTAAAATCTGGGGGAAAGTTCTATTTTCTCCCCTTCTGGGCTGCGTCCGTTCCAAAAACCCAAGTTTTTCTGTGCTCTGTTTTACAAACTGCCCCTTTTTGTGTGCGACTGTTTGGTTCCTTCCCTCCAGCAGATGCCTCCGACTTTAAAGGAAGCTCCCAATTCCGACTCTTACACGGGTTTTTGGGTAGCAGGGGGTCTGTTCTTTTTTTCCCTTTAATGGGACGCCAGAACCCAAAATGTGGATGTTAACTTTTTGATTGGTTTGGATTCTTTTTCGGCGTTCTCCCGAAGATGAAATTCCCTGTGTTTACACCCGAGTTTGCGATATTTCCCCTTTTTGGGGAAACCCCCGGGGCTTCGCGGGCATTTTTAAGGGGTTTTTCCCTTTCCCCGGTGATTAAATTAAATTTGACCCCTTTTCCGTTTTTTCAGATAAATAGTTTTATATTGTCTATAAGGGGCAGGGAAACTTACTCCTTTCATTGGGGAAAGGGGGAAGATGGGGGAATGTGGACTGCTGTAAAATACTAACATTGATTGTCAGGGATGTGCCCACAAGCCACAGAGACCAAATATCACCTTAAATTTAAAGGAAAAGTGGCCTGGGGTTTCGGGAACCGGGCTAGGACATCTTTGACCAGCCCTCCTATTTGGCAGTCGGACAGCTGTAGTGTGGCCATGCCTCATGAATAATGGTTTTAGTTATTGAGTTAGACAGAGTTAGATAATATGTTGAAATATTTAGAATGATGAAGAAATGGTAGAGGTAAAATAATAAAGGTAAAAGTCACAGAGCTCAACATGTTGTATCTATATCAGACGTTCTCGTGTGGATTGTGACTACATTCTGATACAGTTTGTTCATGTTGTCATAGCCATGATTGCAGTGTTAATGTGCTTTGAGTGTATCAACAATAAACTATGTAACAACACTTATAACTCTTGGGACTTATCAAGCTCAGATAATCAGAGGCGAATATGAGAAGTACAAATGAGCACGTCGGTCTGTGCAAGTTGAATGACCTTTAAAAACTCATGCTCTGACCTTGCCACCTTGCCTCTCGACCCCTGACACTGCCCATGGCAATGGCGAGTGTGAATAGCAAGACATGCCAGCGTAAGAACAGTTTTTCATAATTATAGCCTGGGATTTCAGAACCATTCTTGTCAACATTTGTGTTAAGTGTGTTTCTTCTCAGACCCCCAGCTCTCATCCTTACTGCAAACATTTCTTCCTTCATTCTTATTTCCTTCCCGACGTGCCCCTTCCACATAAAAACGGTTCATGGCATTTTGTTACGAGTCCACCTCAACACCTGTACCATTCATGTCCCACTTCCACACATCTTTATATCGCAGTAGAAGTCGACCTCAACGTTCACATTAATTTTACTGTAAATGCATGGAAATAATTAGACAGGGAATCCTCTTGAAGCCACAGAAACAAGAGGAAAAAGGAGAGACTGACATAAAGCCAACTGGAGAACAGCAGAAAGGAAAATGAAGGACTGTAAAATGACAAGGGATACCATGGGCAGAAAGGCTACAGACCAGCAGCAATGGAGAACATCTATGAACACCTTGTGTGTCAAAAGCCCCATGAAGAGGATCCAGTGAAAGATACAGAGAGAGAGCTGAGGATGCTAAGGTCAAGGGTTCAAATCCGCATGAAATCAATTTTTTTAAAAAGATGACCGTGACTCCCAGGTTGACCCAGCCTTTAATAGGTGAGTCCTGGGAAGTTTAGGCAGCCAGCGGGATGATGACCACATTGCCCATCGAAGGGCCGCTTGGTCTATAAATATATGAGTCCAGTCTCATATGCCTGCTGTACCACCAGCACATAAAGGAACTTTTCTGTTTTTAAATAGAGAGAGTAGTTCATTCTATTTGCAATTATTTTTTCTTTACGAGTTGATCCTGTTCAATCTGTGTTTGAAGGTTATAATTAGGGTATTTTTCTTCCTTTTTCATTTGCCTGCACATTGCGGTTAAGTTGGCTCATCTTCCCACATTGTTTTTTTTTTCAAAATTCGCTATCACTGTCTGGCGTGTCTCTCAGGTGTCAGATTCTCTTTCATATGGATGTATCTGTGTTTGCATGTGTATATCTGTTTGTATGTATCTGTGTTTGCATGTGTATATCTGTTTGTATGTATCTGTGTTTGCATGTGTATATCTGTTTGTATGTATGTGTGTGGAATGTGCGTGTCTGTGTGGAGTGTGCGTGTCTGTGTGGAATGTGCATGTCTGTGTGGGTAGGTAGGTATGTATGTGGGTGAATGGAGGTGTGTTTAAGTGAGTGGGTAGGTAGGTAGGTGTGTGGTGTGTGTGTGGTGTGTGTGTGGTGTGGTGTGTGTGGTGTGGTGTGGGTGTTGTGGTGTGGTGTGTGTGGTGTGGTGGGTTTGTTGGTGTGGTGTGTGTGGTGTGTGGTGGTTGTGTGGTGGTGGGTGGTGGGTGGGTGGTGGGGTGGTGGTGGGTGGTGGTGGGTGTGGGTGGGTGGTGTGTGTGGTGGGTGTGTGGTGGTGTGTGTGGTGGGTGTGGGTGTGGTGGTGTGGTGTCGTGTGTGGTTTGTGTGTGGTGTGTGTTGTGGGGGGGGGTGTGGTGGGGGGGGTGTGTGGTGGGGGGGTGTGTGGTGTGGGTGTGGGTGTGGTGGTGTGTGGGTGTGTGTGGGGTGTGTGTGTGTGTGTGGTGTGTGTGGTGTGTGTGTGTGGTGTGTGTGTGTGTGTGCTGGTGTCTGCGTGTGGGTGTGTTGGGTGGTTTGGTGTGTGTGGTGGTGGTCTGTGGTGTGGTGTGTGTGGGTGTGGTTGTGTGGGGGGTGTGTGTGGTGTGCGTGGTGTGTGGGTTGTGTGTGGGTGGGTGTGTGGGTGGGTGTGTGTGTGGTGTGGGTGTGTGGTGTGGGTGTGTGGTGTGGGTGTGTGGTGTGGGTGTGTGGTGTGTGTGTGTGGTGTGTGTGTGGTGTGTGTGTGTGTGTGGTGTGTGTGTGGTGTGTGTGTTGTGTGGTGTGTGTGTTGTGTGATGTGTGTGTGTGGTGTGGTGTGTGTGTGTGTGTGTGTGCGCGCACGCGCTAGTGTGTGCATGCATTTGACCACCCATGCTTTTGTGTGTATTTGTTCTTTTTTTTTTTAAATATTCATAGTCATATGAATATAACATGCTTATTGATAAAATACAGCTGCAGTGTGAAAGACAGGTGTTTGAAAGGGCCAAATGTAATTTGTGACCCTTTGAAAATAAAGTTTGTTCGTTCGTTCTGCTGCTTGAGGGTCTGTCTGATGTAGCTATTTGCACTTATTTAACTTCATACTTCAAAATACTATGAGACAAAGAGTCATTTCCTTTACTTCTACTTACTTTTTCACTTCCTCACGTGACAAAGTCATTCTAGCAGAGGATTCTGGGAGCTGTTTGTCCCAGTGTGGGGGTTGTTTCCCAGCAGTCACTGGCGTGGTTGCAGCAAGAGGGTGGCGCACACTGCCCCACTGACCCGGATCTAGGTAAGCCTGCATGAGAACAGAGCCGATTTTCATGCACTAATGTTTACTGTATCATGAATGAAATAATAAAGCTAGTTCAAATTAACCCTGAAAAACCTTCTGAGCACAACATTAACTATCTTCTTCTTCTAAGCATTCACCAGCCATAATCTTCAGCACAAATTTCTGGTTGTTTGTCCATGTTTGGACTTTGGTCCTACCCCAGAACTTTGAGTTTTGGGTAAAATGTGATAAGCACAACATAAACTTCAGATTCGCCTGCACTTATTACCTGATGCAGCACAGCTACCCAAAGTAGCTATTGGTTAGTAGTACTGAGAGAGGTGTAGTGGCTAGAGGCTCGTCTGTCAATCTGGAAGGTCCTAGGTTCAGGTCCTGACAAAGCCAGCCTTTTGTTTTTCTTAAAAGATGACCTTGGATCCCAGTTCGACTCAGCCTGAAATGGTACCAGGTAAAGTCCTGGGAGGTAAAGGCGACAGGCCGTGATGTTGACCACAATTACTCACCAAGTGCCTAGTTGGTCTATAAAATATAGTTCTAGCCTTAAAGTCCCAATACGCCAGAAGATGTGGCAATGGATCATTGACTTTACTGAAAAAGTTAACAAGCCAGAGACCAAGAGCTACTAATCAGATGTATTATGATCCAACAGTAGCAAATCCTAGAAACCTGTTCAACTGTATAAGAATTATTTTGAGATTTTTTGGGTGGGATGTCAACATTTCCTTATTGCACTCAAAACATTCAATCCACCACCTGCAAACACCCAGTGCCTTTAATCACTGCATACAACTGCATACACCCGTGCCTTCAGTCACTGCATACAACTGCATACACCAGTGCCTTCATTCACTGCTACAACTGGCATACACCCAGTGCTTCAATCACTGCATACAACTGCATACACCCAGTGCCTTCAGTCACTGCATACAACTGCATACACCCCAGTGCCTTTAGTCACTGCATACAACTGCATACACCCAGTGCCTTTTAGTCACTGCATACAACTGCACTACGCCCCAGTGCCTTCAGTCCTGCATACAACTGCATCACCCGGTGCCTTTTAATCACTGCATACAACTGCATACACCCAGTGCCATTCAGTCACTGCATACAACTGCATACACCCAGTCCTTCAGTCACTGCATACAACTGCATACACCCGTGCCTTCAGTCACTGCATACAACTGCATACACCCAGGCCTTTAATCACTGCATACAACTGCATACACCCCAGTGCCTTCAGTCACATGCATACAACTGCATACACCCAGTGCCATCAATCACTGCATACAACTGCATACACCCAGTGCCTTCAGTCACTGCATACATAACTGCAATACACCCAGTGCCTTCAGTCACTGCATACAACTGCATACAACCCAGTGCCTTCAGTCACTGCATACAACTGCATACACCCAGTGCCTTCAGTCACTGCATACAACTGCATACACCCAGTGCCTTCAATCACTGCATACAACTGCATACACCCAGTGCCTTCAGTCACTGCATACAACTGCATACACCCAGTGCCTTCAGTCACTGCATACAACTGCATACACCCAGTGCCTTCAGTCACTGCATACAACTGCATACACCCAGTGCCTTCAGTCACTGCATACAACTGCATACACCCAGTGCCTTCAATCACTACATACAACTGCATACACCCAGTGCCTTCAGTCACTGCATACAACTGCAAACACCCAGTGACTTCAATCACTGCATACAACTGCATACACCCAGTGCCTTCAGTCACTGCATCCAACTGCTATACATAACATGTATTCAAAACACAACAATTCTTTTGATAAATAAATTATTACTGATCAGTTAGGATTAAGGTCCCTGTGTGGGTTCCGGGGGCCCTATTGTGGGAAAAAAATAACAGACCGATTGCCTCCCCGTTAAGCAAGTCATAGGAGTCGACTAACTGCGGACTTCCTTCAAAGTCAGAGTGTATCTGCCTGAGCGGCTAGGGACAACCAACTGCACAAAAATAATCCAGTAAAACATATGTACACGAAAACTCAGGCCCTGGCACAAACCCAAAGTCAAAATGGATGAACAGCAAGGATTTTCCGCCAGAGCTTACAGCCAGTAAACATAAAAGAAGAAGGAGGATTATCATCACAGCACTCTGGACAGATCACACAGATGATCCGATCTCCACCTCAAAAGCTCCACAAGTGTAAAATATCTGATGACTCTTGTTTGGTGTTGATTAGTTAAATGTCTTGGCCCCTTGGTGAAATGTTCATTTCTTGCCACTCCAGGCTGCACCCCATGTCCACTGATAAATCTGTCTAAGAGGTGAGGAACCAACAGTCTGCATACACATAAGCTAGATCTGTAAAATGGATATACATGCAACATTCAAGTTCTGGAACAAAACAGTCCATTAATGGACAAACAACCAGAATTTTCTGCCAGAGTTGACAGCTGGTGAATGCTAAGAAGAAGAAGAAGAAGAAGAAGAAGAAGAAGAAGAAGAAGAAGAAGAAGAAGAAGAAGAAGAAGAAGAAGAAGAAGAAGAAGAAGAAGAAGAAGAAGTAGAAGAAGAAGAATAAATCTGCTGTTAGAGAAAAGCATGCAACTACCGAACAACTAAAATAAAATAAAAAATCATCAACCAGAAGTAACTACAGACAGTGATCACTAAAGAAGAGTTTTCTAAAAAAGCATCCAACCTCAAGATGATGCTGTGCAGTAAACAGGAACTGTAGTCGTCCACTGAGGTCCAAGTAACTGGTAGCTCCCCGCTGGTAGAAGTGGGTTATGCATGTCATGGCGGCCCGGATGTAGTCCTGGATCCATAAATAGAGAGAAGAAACAGTCAACAACAGGCACAGGCAAGTCATCTACATGGCTATGTTTTACTAACTTCATTAGGGAAAGAAAGAATACTAATAATGAGATCTACAGTCAATCAACCAGTCAATCAACCAGTAAATCAACCAGTCAATCAACCATCAGGTGCCATCTCCTCAATGGAGGCTGCAATGGATCTTCAAAATGCTCTCTTTCACCCTGAATCTACCCCCCCCCCCCTCTCACTGGAGACACATGGATATGAATGGCAGCAGAACACAAAGTAGTAATTGTATAAGTTGTTTATGAGCAATAACAACAACTAAAGTAGTACTCAGTATATCCCTCAACATGTAGCAGTCGATGTCATCAATTCTACGTTGGTTTATTATTATTATTATTATTTTTTTGGTGTGCATCCTCCAAAGTGCTCTCACCTGTCCTCACTCTTGTTACCTGCTGCTCTTGCAGTTTAATCATGGTTGCAGAATCACACTTGATTTATGCAATCACTGTCTCCTACAGCATTCAGTATATAAGCCCTGTCTATTGCTCAACCCCTTTCCATAGTAGCATCCACCAGCAAGCTTATCAGCATGTAGGTTTCCCTTCACACCAGCATACCCTGACACCAACATGAAAAGCTGAGGATACCACAGACAACAAAAAGAACTGATGACAGTACTGACCTTCATGAAGAGCTGCACATGGTACAAGGTGTTGAAGTACTTCTGCTTCAGCAGGTGCTTGCAGGTAGCCATCAGGTATGCTGTCCACTTCTCCAGGGTTGGGTCCAGCATCAACATCTGTTCCAGCAGCCGGCTCATCTCCCCCGAGTTCATCGCTGGCACCATCAGCCCATGAACAAAGATATCGGAGGAGCAATGCTGAGAAAATAAATGATGTATACGGTTATCACAGATGCAGACAAATATTAATTTACTGTCCTGTTGGGTCATTAGTGTCATAATTAATTCACTGTCCTGTTGTCTCATTACATGTCAATTATTAATTCACTGTCCTGTTGTCTCATTACATGTCACTTATTAATTTACTGTCCTGTTGTCTCATTACATGTCACTTATTAATTTACTGTCCTGTTGTCTCATTACATGTCACTTATTAATTTACTGTCCTGTTGTCTCATTACATGTCACTTATTAATTTACTGTCCTGTTGTCTCATTACATGTCACTTATTAATTTTACTGTTCCTGTTGTCTCAGTACATGTCACTTATTAATTTACTGTCCTGTGTCTCATTACATGTCACTTATTAATTTACTGTCCTGTTGTCTCATTACATGTCACTTATTAATTTACTGTCCTGTTGTCTCATTACATGTCACTTATTAATTTACTGTCCTGTTGGGTCATTAGTGTCATAATTAATTCACTGTCCTGTTGGGTCATTACATGTCACTTATTAATTTACTGTCCTGTTGGGTCATTAGTGTCATAATTAATTCACTGTCCTGTTGGGTCATTAATGTCATTCAAGGCTTAGTCTATTCCTCCATTCCATTCTGTCCTGTGTCAGCTCTTTGATTTAAAAAAAAAGTAAAAGTAAAGAACCCTTTTCCACGCCTTTAAGGAGTTATAGGCATATAGGGTTAGACCTATAGTTTTTTTTTTATAGACCAATGGGCACAGATGGGTGATGTGGTAAAGCATCAGCCGGCACACCTTTACTTCCTCTCAAAGCTAGGTCGACATAGGAGCCAAGGTCATTTAAAAAAAAAAAGTCTGGCTCCGCAGGAAGCAAACCCACAGCCTTCCAATCCACAGGTGAGTGTCTAGGTGCTCCCGCCACGGCAACTCCCTAATCCTCTTTGATATCATAGATGGAATCTAGTCCAGCCACCTTGGCATCTCTCTTCAACTTGATTTTAGGTTTCTGTTTTGAATGGCTTTGCTTCATCAGTTTCCCTCATTCCCCACTTTAGTCTCTGTCTAGTGATTCTTGTGTTGTTTCTGTTTCACGATGTGTCAGTTTAGCGCCATATTCTCATGTCTTGAAAATGGTGGTACAATGTTGAATTAGGAATCACATCACAGCACTCAGGGAGTGCTCAGTTCCCATCTTCAGCTGCAAAGCGAAGAGTTCCAATTTTGATGGCACCAGTAACCGTCTGATTGTAAATCCGTCTCATCCTTCCCCTGAGTGTGATAGTTGGCCAGATTCCCTGGTAGCTCCTCGCAGAGTCATTCTCTTCAGGATGTAATGATCCATCTGCGCCTCTGTATTTTTCACTCACTCCCAAAGGGGCCCTCATAATATATAACTTGTCATATATCAATTCACTATCAAGAGGTGCAGAGCCAGCCAGTCTATCTGCCTGCTCACTTCCCAACACACCGGCATATACCTGAAAAAAAAAATATCCAAAAGAATGCTAACTACCCGGGACCTCTGAAGTGATGCCAGCCACTCTGCACAAAGCATTACCTGTCTCCACCCTTTCTCAAAATGCTCTGTGAGTCAGTTACAATTGCGGCATGTGTGTACAGCTGATTCTAAAAGCCAGTGGAAGGCAGCAGATGTTTTTTCTTATTTCTTCACCGCTCTTGAACATTCATCCTATTTTTTATTTTCAACAATTTTCCTCAAGCACTGGTTTTCAACATGCATAACTTTATTCCAGATACACTGAAAAACATATTCAACATTTTCTATGCCAATAGTGAAGGCAAACATAGTGGTTATTTTAGAGATTTCATCTGATTCTTCAATGTCTTGCTCATTCAACTTGTCTGTCACTTGCTTGGTTAAATCACAACTTTCTATGCATTTTTTAAGAAAGTAATATTATGAAACTAGAATTATGTCACACACACACACACAAAAACATTATAAAACATATAACAGTCCCTCATAAAACATGATGGTTCGACTGGGACTGAATCAGCAAACGGACTGAGTGTACAAATGATTGAATGTGAAACTGACTCCCAAAAATGTCCTGCATATTCCTACTGTTGTGGTGTGGGAAAGGAGGGGGGGGGGGCCCTTTGAGCTGAGGATTTTTGGGCAACATGGTTAGTGGCTGTCCGCCACGGACTGTGCAATTCAGGATTTTATTTTTGCCTTCAACAGAAAAAAAATCCACGACCTCGCAAGGATTCAAAGCTGAATACTCCACATGAGAAACTAGCATTACTAAATGCTTTGGCCTGACCGCTCCTTGTGTAGATAAACAAGTATAAATGACCAAGCAAACAGCCAACTTACGTAGTCACCAGCAAACTGTGCTGCTTTCATCCAATAGCTGTGCTGGCGTAAGAAACATATGTGATCCAGATAGCTGCCATATGTCCTCAGGTAATACAGACATTCCTGGTACGCACAGGACTCTATACGATTTTCTTCTCCTACGCTCTAGAAATTAAAATAGAAGACAGCATGCCGTTCACATTAAAATTCAAATTAAATCCTTAGGATTCACTTATTCTTTAGGTATTACCAGGGTACAATGTGTACATATGTGCTACAAGTGTACTTTGACACAAGACCAACTCACCACCCCTATGGGTGTCGAAGTACACTTGTTCTTCTAGCGAGCCACTGTGGTCATCTGGAGGTAATAGGTTCAATTCTCAGTACAGTGACCATAGCTTTCATTACCCCCCAAAAAAAAAAAATCCTTTCGCCACATAAAAATCTTAAAGACTGTAGCATTTTTTGAAAATGTAATTAAAAAGAAATTCATCATTATATGTCTCTGAAATTCCACCCTACGAAACTAACGGAAGAGACAAAGGATCAGAAACAATTGGAGGTCTTGGTTAGTTTTTATGAAAATCCAGGGGTGTGACACCTAAGACCACTGAACAGACACATCAGCCTGCTAGAAACTGTGCTATCAGCAAACCCAAGTCACTAAAAAGATGGATTTTTTATATTTAGAGATATTATTTTGCATTAATGATACCCAGTCCTTACAAACTTGAGTGGATCAGCCACTGTTACGATGGTTTGGACATGTATGCAGAATAGGAGAGAATCGGCCACCATGGCAGGCATGGGAAGCCAAGAACCAGGGAACCAAACCTTCAGGGTGATCCAGGGTCCGCTGGAAAGACAATATCCGACAGTCCCTAACTGACAGATGACTGGAATGGAACAAAGCCAGGAAGAAAACTGCTGATAGAGATGTCTGGCAATCTCTCTGGCAAACCTCTACACTCCAAGGTAGAAGAGGAGCGACAAAGTAAGTAATAAGTTTGAATAAAGAAGACACAAACAATAGACTGCACAATTTTTTGTCCGGCATATTTCGCTGTATCTCGTCAGGTGCATACTACAGTAAAAAGTGATTAAAATGAAGCAAATAGCTGAATCCTAGAAACTGAAACACAAATTCTAGTATATTCTACACTGTCTGTTTCACCAAGGTAACCTTAAGGAAATGACCATTTCTTTCTGCCTACAGAGATCTGGTTTCAACCGGCTGATCCGGAAGCTTCCACGTATCGGAGTAATCTACGGTTGGCCGAATTGTAAATAATTCGAAATGCATCATCCCTGTTAATGATGTGCCCTGAATTTAGAATATGGCACGCAATCGCTGATGATGGATTTTGTCGACCAGTCACCTGATTCGTTGTTGCTGAGGTGTTAGTGTTCTGCATTGTTACTGTAGTATGCACCTGACGAGATACAGCGAAATATGCCAGGCAATAAAATAAATTGTGCAGTCTATTGTTTGTGTCTTCTTTGTTCAAATTCACATTGGGAAAACATTGCTTTAACTCTTTGAGTCCCAGGGGATTTAGCATCAGAAGCCCAAGGGGTAGTCAAAAGAGATGTAAAATCGGCGCATCTTGCGTTCATTGGGCCTCTAGGCAGGAACCTATGAACGTATGATGTGTTCCTTGGGACTCAAAGAGTTAAGAAATAAGTATTTTTCACTAAGTGTGATTTTTTTTTTAATATGAAGGAAAGTAACTATTATTTTATGCTAGTTTTTTTCCTTTTTACTTGAAGGGAAGTAATCATTGAATATAAACGAAGCAAAGAAATAACTGTCATCATAAGTTTATTGTGATGTCACAATGACAGGACAATTCTCACCCAAATCTTTCTCAAAAATTTAGTTTTCTTAAATTGTAAATATATTCCTTTCCACCATGTTTACACATTATACATTTGGAAACAGTATCAAAGCTGTAGGCATACTGGCCAATGCCTAAAGCATTATGTCATCAAAAACCCATACCAGTTGGAAAACCAACTGTCTCTGGGTGACAACATTATGCTGACTAGTGTATCCTCCTACCTCTCAACTTCTTTCTGCGTGTGCCCATCAATACGCGTCAATTTGCTTGTCAGCTGTCTGAAGAGTTTTCTGAAGTTACTTTTATTTGGTAACTTGGGTAACCACACACGTTGCTTGCCCATGTCCTACAGCAGTTCATCAATCAAGCCAGATCTGTAAAACGTGTGTGCATGCAAAACCCAAGTCCTAGAAAAAGGCCAAAGTCCAGAAGTGGATGAATAAATAGAGCTTTTCGCCCGAGGTTGCAGCTGGTGAGCACAAGGAAGAACAAGATGACGGAGAACCATAAAAAAAGAAAAGAATAGTAACACCAGATATGTTTCTAAAATTGAATAAAAAGAATTGACACAAGGCCAGCTAACTCAGTTCATCTCGTAAACGAATTGGTATAAGGCTAGCTATCTCATCTCATTTCATAAAAGAATTGGCATAAGGTTAGCTATTTCATCTCATCTCATAAAAGAATTGGCATAAGGCTAGCTATTTCATCTCATCTCATAAAGAGTTGACACAAGGCTAGCTATCTCATCTCATTAAAGAGTTGACACAAGGCCAGCTATCTCATCTCATCTCACAATAGTTGGCAGAAGGCCAGCTATCTCATCTCATTAAAGATCTGGCATAAGCCTAGCTATCACATCTCATCTCATAAAAAAATGCTGACACAAGACTAGCTATCACATCTCATCTCTTAAAAAAAAAAGAGCTGCCACAAGACTAGCTATCACATCTCATCTCATAAAAAAAGAGCTGACACAAGACTATCAATCACATATCTCATAAAAGAGCTGGCACAAGACTAGCTATCGCATTTCATCTCATAAAAAAAGAGCTGACACAAGACTATCAATCACATATCTCATAAAAGAGCTGACACAAGACTAGCTATCACATCTCATCTCTTAAAAAACAAAAAGCTGACACAAGACTAGCTATCACATCTCATCTCTTAAAAAAAGAGCTGACACAAGACTAGCTATCACATCTCATCTCATAAAAAAAATGGCACAAGACTAGCTATAACATCTCATCTTATAAAAAAGAGATGACACAAGACTAGCTATCACATCTCATCTCATAAAAAAGAGATGACACAAGACTAGCTATCACATCTCATCTCATAAAAAAGAGATGACACAAGACTAGCTATCACATCTCATATCATAAAAAAGAGATGGCACAAGACTAGCTATCACATCTCATCTCATAAAAAAGAGCTGACACAAGACTAGCTATCACATCTCATCTCATAAAAAAGAGCTGACACAAGACTAGCTATCACATCTCATCTCATAAAAAAGAGCTGACACAAGACTAGCTATCACATCTCACAAAGAAAACTTTTGCTGTAAAACCCAACTATCTACGAACAAGTCTGCAAAGGAACGAACAAACTTTATTTTTAAAGGGTCACAGATTGGGCTCATCTTACATATGGGCATTCCAACATTCGACTTTCACACGACTGTATTAAACCCATAAGAATCTTACATAATATGAATGGTGAAAAATGGCTACATTATACTCCATTAGCAAAACAGCAAGAGGAAGAAGGGGGAGGGGGAGGGGGTGGGGGGGGGGGGGGGGTGAAGAACAGAAGCAGCAGAAAATGGCCTCAGCTTTGGCACATCAACACATTAACTCTGGCTGAATCTTTAGCAAAGTAGACGCAACGAGACTCATCAGTAAATGAACAGAATTGGCTACCTTCTGCCAAACAAACAACGAAGCAAAAAGATACAATCTCAAACAAAAATAAAACAAAATGGTGGAAGCACTTACAGGAATCAGTAATGTGGTGATGTCACATATACTCCCTGGATCAGTCAGCAGACTATGCACCTGTGGATGAGAGGCAACAAACCCCAATCATGAAGAGATAACTGAGTAATCAGGTTTGTTTAGTTTACCTTGTAAAGGACAGGGCTTTTTTTTTCCTTTTTTTAGATTTAGTTTCCTGTCTTTTGCTAGTTGTGTAGTTTAGTATTAACATCATATTGTGCTTGTGTCTTGTACTCCCTCCACCAATCTTTCTCTTGGTCGGCTGCTTGACATGTAGCCACTTGCAGTCTGCTGTTTTCATGTAGTATACTCTAGCTGCTGGTTGATTTTGTTCCATTCTTACCAGATGACCAAGCTATCCAAAGCTGACTGGTCTTTATTTATACAAATCTTTTTATTTAACCGCTACCTTATTACAGGTTTTTTAAAACAGTCTTACGACAAATCTTTGGACCCATCAAAGATGCAAACAGCGGGGAATTGAGAATGAGAAGCAACAACAAAACTCATAATCTGTTTAAATCACCATTGATAACTGGCATCATGAGAGCTAATAGACTGAAATGGTTGGGGCATATTGAAAGAATGTAAGATGACAAAAGTAAAAACTGTATACACAAGAGAGATGAATGGTCATAGTACACGAGGCAGACCAAGAAGACAATGGAGAGATAATGTCCTGACAGACCTGCAAACACTTGGTGTCAGCAACTAGAAAAAGAAGGCTAACCAGAGAGATGAATGGAGGCAGGTGATATCTGCAGCAACGAACCTCAAGGGCTCAGAATGCTGAAGAAGAAGAAACTGCTACCTGTGTGGGTTCATCCAAAACATTCTAGTGATTTTTCACAGGTTTTTTCAATCTCTTTCACAAGTTTAGGATGAAGACTGGAGATGCATCAACTACTCACAACAACACAGAGAAATTCCTTTTCTTAGACTCAGCCCCAGGCAACACCCAACAGAAAAGATACCATAATTTCTGTGTAAAAGACGTCCCCCCCCCCCCTCCCCCCGCCCCCTCCAGTGAATAAGATAAGGTAACCCTTATTTTTGTTAGCCCAAAATTAATAGGTATTTTCAAACATTCTATATATTTTAGACAACCCTTAATTTAAAGGTTAAAATGTTTTTGGGAAAAGCCGGCTTATACTAAGAAAAATACGGTGCCATACCTTATGGCCAACAACCACAATAGCCGCCCCACCTACCTACCCTCCCACAAACATGGCAATTACCTCAGTGAAACCAGAGCTTGGGATCGTATCCAGAAACTCCAGAATTTCCCCTAAAAGGCGGCTCTGACTGGCTGATGTCTGGTTCTTGTCAGCTGGAACCTGCAAGAAAAAATATCGCACAGGTAACACTATAACACAGATCACTGTTGCCCAAACCTGTCTTAGTCACCGCACCTTTTTTTCAATAACGTTTTTTTTCACGGTGCCCTAACCTAAGTAAAAGTATAACTACTCGTATATAAGAGATGAAACAAAAAATAAAACTCGTGTATCTTCGAATATTTTGCGGCGCCACTGTGAAGAGGTCCCGGCTCCCTATGGCGCCGCGGCGCACAGTTTGGGAACCACTGACATAAATCAATCACTGAAGATCTGCTGAGAACACTGCTAAAATTGATTACTGCTTCTGATGTTTGAATGGTAAGTGCAGCAACTCTCTTGCTGTTTAGTGAAAGATAACTCTTTGTACCTACTGACAAGTGACAAACTAAAGGAACAAACCAATCAACCAGTAAAGTGAACTAACCATTTAACCACTCAAGCAAATCAACCAATCAGGTGAAACAACAAGTCAAAGTGAACCAATCAATCAACTAGTCAAGTTTACCAACCAGTCAAGCGAACCAATCAATCAACCAGTCAAATTTACCAACCAGTCAAGCGAACCAATCAATCAACCAGTCGAGCAAACCAATCAATCAACCAGTCAAGTGAACCAATCAATCAACTAGTCAAATGAAGCAATCAATCAACCAGTCAAGTGAACCAATCAATTAACCAGTCCAGCGAACTAATCAATCAACCAGTCAAGCGAACCAATCAATCAACCAGTCAAGCAAACCATTCAATCAACCAGTCAAGCAAACCAATCAATCAACCAGTCAAGCAAACCAATCAATCAACCAGTCAAAGTGAACCAATCAATCAACCAGTCAAAGTGAACCAATCAATCAACCAGTCAAGTGAACCAATCAACCAACCAGTCAAGTGAACCAATAAACCAACCAGTCAAAGTGAACCAATCAATCAACCAGTCAAGCGAACCAATCAATCAACCAGTCAAAGTGAACCAATCAATCAACCAGTCAATGTGAACCAATTAATCAACCAGTCAAAGTGAACCAATCATATCAACCAGTCAAGCAAACCAATCAATCAACCAGTCAAAGTGAACCAATCAATCAACCAGTCAAGCAAACCAATCAATCAACCAGTCAAGCGAACCAATCAATCAACCAGTCAATGTGAACCAATCAATCAACCAGTCAAAGTGAACCAATCATATCAACCAGTCAAGCAAACCAATCAATCAACCAGTCAAAGTGAAACAATCAATCAACCAGTCAAGCAAACCAATCAATCAACCAGTCAAGCGAACTAATCAATCAACCAGTCAAGCGAACTAATCAATCAACCAGTCAAAGTGAACTAATCAATCAACCAGTCAAGCAAACCAATCAATCAACCAGTCAAAGTGAACCAATCAATCAACCAGTCAAAGCGAACCAACCAATCAACCAGTCAAGCGAACCAATCAACCAGTCAAGTAAACCAACCAACCAGTCAAGCGAACCAACCAGCCAGTCAAGCGAACCAACCAACCAGTCAAGCGAACCAACCAACCAGTCAAGTGAACCAACCAACCAGTCAAGCGAACCAACCAACCAGTCAAGCGAACCAACCAACCAGTCAAGCGAACCAACCAACCAGTCAAGCGAACCAACCAACCAGTCAAGCGAACCAACCAACCAGTCAAGCGAACCAACCAATCAACCAGTCAAGCTCACTGGCCAATCAATCAAGTGAACCAAACAATTCAACCAGTCAATCAACCCACCAACCACACAATCACTGACCTACCTTTAGACAATGTGCAAACTTGTCCCTGGCTCCAGTGAAGTCTCCAAGATGTAGACAAGCAAACCCCATTGCTGACCAAACCCCAGCTGGGTCAATGCCACACTTGGTGGACACCTCCATGGCCAGTGACAGACGCTCATCTGCAATCAGCTTATCTCTCAAACGTCTGCAAAAGAACAATCAACAGACATTATGTTAGGAATTCAATCCTTTGACGCGGAGACACCACTTATCCAGCATCATAGGTCACTACACATTAGGTAATTTTGGTAATCTTAGTTTTAGTTTCATAGCAAATGGGTCACTCCAGAGTTGTTCTGCTCCTGTGCCAATGAAAAACACGCAGAATGTCTATTACTGTCATTGTGGAAAAACACACACAGTGTTGTCTCAGCACATCCAATAGCACACATATGCATTAAAAGCATAAGGCAACCATCAGAAGTGCTAACACAAACAGTCCAACATTACAAATGCAGTTCTTCGTTGATGGAAGCAGCCTTTGCAAACTGATCAGCAGCTGCAGACACGATTACTTTTAATCACATAAGGCAGCATCGATCCTATGGCAAGAGGCCTCGCACTATTTTCTGAATCTACAGTTCCCAACACCACGGCTGGTGCATTTGAAAAACATTCCAAATGAAATCTGCAGCTCACTGTGTAGCGCCATGCACTCAACAGTGAAAATAACCCGATATTCTTTCAGTCTACAAATAGAGGAAAATGCAACAGCCACAGTCTGACAAAAGCAACAAATTGCCATGATTAAAAACAGTGAACGTGCCTTACCTCCATTTTGACCAGAAGTATCAATTTATATTGTTGCTTTTTTGTTAAAAAAAAATTGAAAAAAAAAAGTATTTCTTTCTGAAGTTCTAATGGGGTCAAGATCTATTTTGTTTGAGTGTTTCCGGAAACAAAAGGGTTACAAATTATTAAATGGTTCGATGACAGAGATGGGTGCACAATCATAACTGTCTATTTATGTTCCTAAATGACATACCTGAAATTCTACATTTTAGAAATGTCTTGTCAGAGAGTACTAAAAAAAATCTGACTAACCCATTGGCAATTACAATTATACAAATATTTCTACAACGCATGTAGTGTGCATTAGTTTTAATTTTAAAATATATTTAAAAAAGATTTTTATATAAAGCTATCTGGGACTGAAAAAAAGTTAAGTTTCTATACTGTTAAAAATTAAAACACAGTTATCCGATGGCATGCTTTTATTTGTTGATGGAAAAGGCCTATGACTAAAAATATTGATGACCCAAATGCAAAAGAACTGTCAGTTGATACTTTAAGACAGCGGTTCTCAGACCGGGTGCCATGAGCATATGCCAGGGTCGCCGTGGCAGTAATTAAGCATTTTTCAAAATCTTCTTGAGATCAGCAAAGACAGCAGTTTAAAACAGAAGGAAGCCAAGAAGAGTTTTAGATGCAGGTGTATTAAAAAAACAATGCTCCTGGCAAGCTGCTGTGTATTCTCAACGTACGATTACATTTAAAGAAACAGATGCAGGAGCAACCTTTAAGTGATTTAGGGGTACAATTAACTAAACTTCCCATAAACATAAAGAAAAAAATGACAAATTCATCCAAACACTTTTAATTTGATGCATTAAAGACAACCGAACATTAAATTTGCACTTTGTCCCTCTTTTCCTAAGTATCAAAACAGCTTCAAGGGTAGGTGTGCCGTGAAATATTTTTTGCCCGACAAGGGGGCTGCCGCAAAAAAAGTTTGAGCAACACTGCCCTAAGGTGTTCTTGTGTATAACGAGAACAATTTTGTTGATTTACAATGATTCTGAATGTAAAAATTGTGTTTCTTTTAGTAGCTCTGCACTCCCCCCCCCCCCCTTTCTCTCTCTCAATAGAATAGTTTAAAAACACAAAATGACCATACCTGACACTGTCCTGTTTAGTCAGCTCCTTGACTGTGGGCAAGTCCTGATAGTTGGCTTTCACCATGACGTCCAGCAGATCCACCCGACCCAGATATATCTCGCACATCTCGGTCATCCCCGTGTTGCCCGCATGCAGAAAGTCCAGTTTGGCTTGAAACAGCAGTTGTTTCATCACACTGGCCACAGAAAGCACGGATTGAAGTTCTGCACTGTCATTATGTTTTTTACTTGGACATTGTTAGAAAAACCTCATTATCAAGTGGATGTGGGCTATCATGCTTTTCCACAACCTGGGATCTTCAACATCAAGTATCAATCAGTTAGTGTGCTGATATCCCTCCATGCCATGACAAAAGGCTGTCACGAGTCATCTCACGTCTTTCTCTGTCTCTTTTCCCCCCATAGGTTCTCTCTCTCTCTTTCTCTTTTTCTCTCTCTTTCTCTCTCTCTTTTTCTTTCTCTCTCTCTTTTTCTCTCTGTCTCTTTCTTTTTCTCTCTGTCTCTTTCTTTCTTTCTCTCTGTCTCTTTCTTTCTCTCTGTCTCTTTCTTTCTTTCTCTCTGTCTCTTTCTTTCTCTCTGTCTCTTTCTTTCTTTCTCTCTGTCTCTGTACTTTTCTCTGTCTATTTCTTTCTCTCTCTCTCTCTGTATTTTTCTGTCTATTTCTTTCTCTCTGTCTCTTTCTTTTTCTCTTTCCCTATTTCTTTCTCTCTGTCTCTTTCTTTCTCTCTTTTTATCTCTCTCTTTCTTTCTCTTTGTCTCTCTTTTTCTCTCCCCTCTTTCTTCTCATTCTCTCCTGCAGACTGTTGGTTCCTGGCTTTCTTTTCAGGCAGATGCAGTCCGAGTTTGAGGGAAACTCCCCTAATTAGTGGCCTTTCATGACACTCTTGGAGAGGGGGGGGGGGGGGGGGGGGGGTTGATTTTTTCTCCCTCTCATAATGAAGAATCTGAACCAACACAGAGATGATTCTAAGGATATTACAGACATTCTACATTCACAGATATAATCATTATCATTATGGACGATGCTGAAAAGGGTAGGCTGTCATGTTTCTCCATCTCACACGATCACTAGAATCACAGACTAGGTCAGTGTTCTTATCTGGCATCCACCCATACGGTTAAGCCATCTAACACCAATTTTCTGTCACTAAAATTGCAATTCATACCTGATGGAAGCAGCAGTCATGACAAACCAGCATGTGCACATGTATTAATGCATAAGGCACACTATTAATTCTATGGCAACCAGCTACTTTATGAATATGAAGTTTATAACATATAATAAGGCATTAGTATGGTAAAACTTAAGCATCTTTTAAAAGCTATTCAAACTCACCTGATAATGAGGCTGTAATCAATCTCCGGGTTAGGAACCCCATGTGAGATAGGAACCAGGTAGGTAGATAGCTTATCACACATGGAGAGAATCAGTTTGCCCGCTTCACCTCTCGAGCTGTGCTGCTTCAATAGAGAGATGCTGAGAGACACACTGGGCGCCTGGGAAGATGGAAGACACAGCATAAGTAAATCATTTCAGTGCTTTATTTATATCTTAACCCAGATGACTTCACAGGACAGTCCAACATTTTAGAGGGTGGTAAGAGTGTTTTCTGATTTCTGATCTTTTAACGACCCCAAAACATCTAGAACTGGCCCTAACCGCAACCCACATACATCCCACGAGAGAATGCAGCCTAGGTCCCACTACTGCATGCAGCCTATCTACCACCCCTCTGAAAAATTAGGTCTCTTCCATGACCTGTGGATTTCCCCTGTTTGGGGTAAGATATAAATAAAGCACCATCATTTATTTCTTTTTTTTCTTTTTAATATTTTCTACCTCTAAATTTTCATCTGTAGGATTAACATCTCAAGTATGAGACTCAAACAGTTACAAATCATAAAACCTCCATTCAACCGTACAGCCCAGTTATATGTGAGCACCACAGAAAGGTTATGAAGTGACATGTAGTCCAGTGAATCTGGGTTGTGTTGAGGTAAATCATTTCTTTTTCAGCTGATCTCAACATTTGTACACAAAAAAATCCCTCAGATCCTTGAGTTGATCTTTAAACTGCCATACGTATCAACTCTGGCTAAGATTCTCCTTTTTACCTGTTACTGTATTTTTCCACGTAAAAGAAGATATGCGTTCCCAAATTTTTTAAGTGAAAAATTTGGGGTCGATTTATACGGGGAATGTGACAAAAATGTTTTTCTAAACTGTTGGCTTAAAAAAAAACAAATAAGGGGTTCATCTTATACATGAACAAATTGTATTTTGTTTTTCTTCATTTCTTTTATGACGTCTTAACAGTATAGTCGTAACTAAATGGTTTGATAGAACCAATAATGTTAAGCTTTTGAAGAGAACTAAACAAATTAAGGTGATCAAGAGGTGAGAAAAAGATGCTGGCAAGGGATAGGACACAAACTGAGAACACCTTATAAGAATATAACAAGAATGCCTTTACACTGGGACCCATAAGGTAAAAAAGAATAAAGGCAGACCAAAGAGAAGGGATTTAGAGAATTAAGTAAATAAAGATAGGGAGGACACTAGGATCAGCTGCATGCGACAGCAAAGAACAGGACAGCGTGGTGTGAACTGGCTGAGAAAATGAGAAACAAATTGATGAAAAAAGAATACAATGCATGCCCACCTGCTCATAATAAAACTCAGACCGCACTCGATCACTGTAGGTGACATCGGGGTGGAGCTTCCATATGTGACTGACATGAATGTCAGACGTCATCAACTGCTTCAGCCTATCAGGTGCCAGAACAGATGTGGGAGCTGGGGAGCTAGGCAATGTGTTGCCAAGGCTGGAGCTTGTGCCTGTCAGTTGTTCTTTGATTTTCCGACTGTAGATCTCATGTTCTTCTTGTGCTCTATGTTCGCTAGAAACACACAAAAGGATATCAGGTAGGAAGGTTTGAGATGATCAATTAAAAGGTTTAAACCTGAGATGATCAATTAAAAGGTTTAAAGCTGAGATGATCAATTAAAAGGTTTAAAGCTGAGATGATCAATTAAAAGGTTTAAAGCTGAGATGATCAATTAAAAGGTTTAAAGCTGAGATGATCAATTAAAAGGTTTGAAGCTGAGATGATCAATTAAAAGTTTGAAGCTGAGATGATCAATTAAAAAGTTTAAAGCTGAGATGATCAATTAAAAGGTATAAAGCTGAGGGAGTCAGCTTCGCTGCACTGGGTTTTAACCCATGTGGCTCAGTCTCTCTCCTTG